ACAAGAACGTCGAATCTGAATCACTTGAAAAAAACACGGGGGTGCTTAACTTTTTTTCCAGGTGTATATTTACTGGTGTACAATAAAAATGACTTTTACCATAGCAAAGTTAGCTGCAAACCAACTAAAAGTTTTTAGTCAAAAGGTTACATTTAATATATATATAATATCTTTTAAACCCATTTTATATTAATTCCTGATTTGTTTATTTTATATTTCTTTTTGGTGATTTTATTTGCACTTTCAAACAGTTACTTAATGTGAACCTAACCTAATGTGAATGTATCCTTACACAACATTCTTGTCATCAAAATAGGGCATGACATTGTTACATTCAAAATTATTTAAGTAAACCTACCTCATCTTGTTTCATGAAAATAATTTATTTTTCTGTCATAATTCAAACAAGGTATAAAATCATAAAGCAAACATCAAAAAAGTTCAGTTGTTGTTTGCTGATTGTTCGATCTAGGCTTCATTTGAAGGATTAGAAGTCTCCTTCAACCGTAGCATAGTCTTGTTTTTGGCCTTAATGATTACTTTGAACATACTGAAGGTTGGAACCACATTACATTCAATTAATGCATGCGTCCAAATGCTTGAATTGCCTTTGAACCTAGAATTAAAGTGTTATTTTAAACAATCTAACAGTCAATCCGACGTAAGTGCCTCCACACGTTGGGCAGCAGAATTAATATGACTGTTGAGGAAACTGGATACAGTCTTTTAAACCTTAAAAAATTCTGAATTTCCAATAAAGGTCTCAACTCACATTGAAGGTGAACTTGTGTATAGACTGTTGATTATGTTTACTTTCATCTTCAAGATACATGAGTGTGGTCCTGTGTATGGTAAAGAGATCATTACCTGTAGCTTTGGGACATTATAGTTCAGTGACCTAGATAGCTGTAGTTGTGGAATTGTTTTATTGTTGGTAAAATCAATAAAGTTGTTTGGGAAAGAGTTAAGTATTCAAATGGATTTTAATCTGCATTTACGAGAGGTACTTGAAACTTTATCTAAACTTTCATGCTCTAATGTGTAAGCTTTACAAAAAAAAATGAAGACTGTAACTGTAGCAGAAGTTGTTCTCGAACATCTTTTCTTTCAGCACGTATGACAAAAAAAAAGTTTTTATAACTTTGATCCAATCTTTGCTGATACAGATGCCATCTGCCTTATACAGTTGAAAAGAACAAAAAAAGATCTTTCATTATATGGTTCGAATGTACTAGCTTTTAATTTTTCAAAGCTGAGTTTATAGGCAATTACATCACTCCATGAAAACCACAGTTGACAAACAGTGATTGACTAAAATCAATACGACTGTGCTTGTAATTGAAGGTACAAGATCAAATTAGCACTATTTTGTTAAACTATTTATACTTTCCTCCTAGGGGACTACAAGTGCTGTATTGTGCTCAGATAAACTTCAGGAAATTCACAAACATGTTTTTGTTTGGAGCATATTGAAATAAACCCAGAATCAAAATTTTAGATTTCAGAATTTTTAAAATTTGATGCAGTTTTCTTTGGACATAGTGTGCATTCATCTGTGCATGACAGTTAAGTAACATAGAGGAAAGACTTCAGAAGAAAAAGTTTCTCCTGTTAGAATTTTTCAGTGCTGACAAAATTCCTCAACTTTTATTTTGTTGTTTGAGGAAATTATAGTTAACCCTTATTATTTTATTGTATCAAAAGCTTAAAATGTTTACACTTTATTTTATTTTAGTATTGAAACTGTGACCAAATAAATATAGAAAATGATCATATTATCTTACAAGAAATTTAACACAAATTTTTCTTTATTGCTAAATAATCAACTGTTAAAGGTGATAATCAATCTTATTCTCTTTTTTTTTACCTCAGTTTGCCAAAAAAAAGGTCAAAGAATTTGAAATTTTCAGTATTGACAGTTCAGAAATGAAGGGCAAGGAGGACATGGAACCTCATTTAAAGAAACAAAAGATATTAAAGGTACTGTGCCTTCAGATATTTGAAAATAACTATAAATATGTTATAAGCTTTTCCATTTTATGAAAAAAGGGTATTATTTAAACTTCTAGGTAGTTTTCAGATCTTATAATTTGTTATATTTTCTTACTAAAATGTTATCCACATTTTTACCCATTAAAAGAAATATAATTCATCCTCACCATTATAGATCTTTAGATCTAAGTATCTAGTAAAACAACTGCTTAACACTCTGAGAAATGTGTTTTCTATTAAAAAAGTTGAGAACAAAAGTGTACTTAAAGCATTTCATCTGTTTTCGAGTATTTTTTCTTTACTCAGATAAAAAGTCTTTCACATTGGTAAATGAAGTGTGTTGAATTTCTCACATTTTTTTTTTGTAGTTTTTTATGTTTTTTAGTAGATTATACAAGTGACAAATTGGTCATAGTTAAGAGAGAGAAGAAACAAGCATTAAAATGACTTGTATATTTAATATTAAAAGATTAACTGCTTACTACTGTGGTATGCAAGCATACTACATGTTTGGTACCCCATCATTTTAATATAAAATTTTTCTTATTTATTCATGTATGTGCAGTCTTCACATAGCACTTTGGTGAAGAAAGTTGTTAAACTTTTTCATTCTAGCTACCTATTTGTTCTATATCATTCCTGTGGGAAAGATTTCTGAAAAGTTGTTCATACTATGTGTGAAAGTAGACAGCAACCCCTTTTCCCCTGGGAAGTTTAGGTGATATCTAGAGGCTACAACCTCCTTTGTGTTTCAGTGGGGATGACCAACACTCTTGTGGATAGCATAAGCATTGTGGGAAAATACTTGTTGTTTCATGTATATTATGCTTTTTTTTCTGTCTCTAACAACTTGGAGAGAATTTTAACATATTTTAGTTTTACACGCTTGGTTAAGTTCACAGAATTTGGAATGGCTGTGCAATATATTTCCTTAGTCTCCTATTATGGTACATATCTTGTCAATCTTGAGGGAAATTAGTTTAACCTGAGAATGCCACAATACCAAAGAAAGGCACATGTAAAAACACCTGATAGAAGTGAGTTTTGAAAACATTTTCTGAAGATTGAAAAGTATTTGATTCTCTGATTTCCAAAACATTAAACAGATGTTCATGACATTCGTATTTTTGCCCTAATTACTTAATACTCTGGGTCATTCCCAGTTGTTGTCACTTCTGTTGGCTTATCAAAAAGATTGCTGTATATTGGAATATGCTATGTAAAGGTGGGTGGTAATCTTTTCCTTTGGTGGGTCAGATGATACCTTGTAAACATGTCCATATTTGTTATTAGAGTGACCAACAGTGGCATGGGTAGTGCATGTACTCTGGGAGAGATGATACTGTTGTAAATAGCTTTTGTTCTTTGGCTTCTGGATAAGAACAGCATCATCTGATGTCCTCTACACTCATTAACTTTTATTTGTGTAATAAAGATTTCTACTCATTTTATTTTTAATCTGTATTTCCTTGTTTTTTCAATTCAATTGGAGTAATAGAATTCAGTCAGGTAGTAAAGAGAAACTTTGTGGTGTGAGTTAGGGGACTTAGAAGTAAAAGGAAGAATGTGTCACTGAGGGTAGATGGCTATCTGAGAGAGCGGATGGGTCTCAGAGGAGTATTCTCCTGGATGTCTGACTTTTACTGTTACTGCAAATAGTCGTGATCACAATCTTACTTGAGCTGCAGACTCATGAAGAAGAACTGCAACAGCAATGAGTGTTTAGAGCTGCTGATCAAGTTCTACCCCTAAGGATGGATCTTGGTGCACAGAAGACATTGTGGACTGAAGGTCATCGTGGTGACATGTGGTCTGGTGTATATGAGATCTAATAGGGTAATCTTTACCAGACACCCAGGCAGGTGTTGACCATGGTAGTTACCCAACCCCAACTCTGATTGCTGCAATTCAAGAGAAAATGGAGGTGTTACTAGTGGATGATGACCACCAGCCAGAGCTGCTTTGCCAACAGTTGAGACAATGAGCACTTACTGGTGAAGATTATGACCCGTGTGACATTTGTAAGCCTCTCTGCAGCCCATTCTGCTGCATAGGTACAGGGATCAAACATTTGTAAAAACTTAGAGGTTACTGAGTAATTTTTAAATTTTTCTGGCTTTCTAACTATGTAACAAGAGCCATTTATTGGTTATAGATAATATATAATTAAATGTAAGAGAGAGCTTTTAACAAATCCTGAAAGAGAGGATGTGGCAGGAGGGTTTGATTTTCTATTTGATAGCTCAGTAACCTAACAAAATTGAAGGCTATGAAAATTATGGTTTGTCTGAGCAATGACGAATTTATAGTGAGTAATTTATGTTGAATTTCGTACTTTTTGGAGGGGGTGATGGATAAAATAGAGAAGAGAAGATACCTAGATAAAATGTGTCACAGTAAAGAAAATTTATGATTTTTTTAAATATTGCCTTATGAAATCAAGAACTTATATACTCTTAAAATATGGATTATTAGGTAAGATTTTATGCTATACTAATTGGTATAACTTAAACGAAAAGTAGTTTCATACAATTTTGAATGCAAGACACTAAAACCTTGTCATGTGCAATAAAGGATACCCATGGCGATAGGGTTAAAGCAATACAAGAAATTCTTTTAGTCATAGTTTTTATTATACAACTGTGATAGCAAATGTTCTAATATATCTCTTAATAATTCAATGATATCTATTAATCTTCAATACAATAACTTTTTTTCTCTTTTCAGACATTATACATTATTAAAGACTATTATACATTATCTTAGACTTGACCGGAGATAGCATTACTTACAAAGAGTTTGTGCAGCAAATTTTTCAAAGGTTTATAGCACATTTATGATGATAAGCCCAATGGTTAGTCAGGATCAGCTGGAGTAAGATGTCTGCAGAGTTGAAACACAATTTTCCATGTTTTTACGATTAATCAACAAGTCCAGTGGATTTACTTTCCAGTGTAGTTCCTTCAAATTAATTGGTACAAGTGGAATCTTCCACCAAACCATAACCATTTGTTGACATTGCCGTAAATGCTTGAGATTATTAACTCGGAGTGTATACAGACAAATCATGTAACTTTGGTCTTTATACAGATACACTTCCAATCGTTGATTCACTTCAGACTTCTGTTAATCGTTTTTTATGAAGTTGATTCCTCTAATGATGCTTTATAATGTAAACATTTGTTGCTTTCTCTCATAGAATCACATCTTTTTGGTGCTGGTAAGCATAGCTGTTAGTTTCCATACTTCTTGAGTCAAGGCCTGGAATGTATAACCAGCTAACTCATAATGTGTTTTGAGTTTGTCTCACCCTTATTTGGTAATGTGCTTTGCTAGTTAGTGTTCATGCTTGTTATAACATCCTTTGGTTTGCTGTGTCTGCTGTATTTCTCTAGGTTTGTTACCTATTTGGAGTCATATATTTCTCATTTCTCTATGTAATACTTTATTATGTTAATTAAAACTTTATTTCTTAAAATTCATAAGATTTGTAATATAGTAAATGCTTCAGTGCCAATCTTGCCCAAACTACTTGTATATATGTGTCATGCCATAAGTAAACATCTTTTTTTTCAGAATAATTTTTTTAGTTATAATAGTCTTCCAGTATTAAAAAAAAAGATAACTTTACCCATCTCATCAATAACTTATTAGTTAAATTTCTTTCAAGTTTTTGTGCAAAGTGAAATATAAATATGGCATTAGCTAGTAGTAGATTACCAAACTTTAAAGAATTGAAGAAAACAAGACAATTGTGCATTTCACAAATACATCATTTATTACGACCATGGTTTCACCAGTAAAGCCATCATCAGGTACATCAAGAAACCATGGTCGTAATAAATGATGTATTTGTGAAACATACAGTTGTTTTGTTTTCCCTCAATTCTATAATTATGGAGTTTCACCAAGTGCCAGTAGTTTCGAGTATCAATTTATTTACAAATCTTAAAGGATTTTACTCAACAGCTGTTATTATTGCCTCTGCTTTATAAATTGTTGTTTTTAAAGTTTTCCTTGCTAATATTGTGGTACAGTTAGTGTTTTCATAATTGAAGTGTTTCTTTTATCAAATATTATCATCACTAATGTGATCCTATAACTGAAGTATTATAAATTGTCATTTTTTAAGGATATCTTCATCACGTTTTTATTTCCAGTATTATTGTATAACTAAAATGCTGCAAGTTCTAATCATGGAGAGGTTTTATTAACTCATGATAGTATGTTGTACACAATAGTCTGTTTGGTATCACTGAATTGTAATATTGTTAAAAAGCTGTGTTGTTTGTCAAGTCTATGTATAATGTTGTGTTTCACAAGGGAAAGGCTACTTATGGCAGTTTAATGACCAGTATATTGTTGTTTTTTTTGTTTGTTTTTTCTTGGAATTAAAAATTGGGGATGGCCTGAAGGTAAATAATGGAGGTAAAATAGTGGTATGCATAGCATTTTCAGTGTTTCCTATGTTTTTCAGGCAATTAGCAACTATTGCTTAGCATCTTTTTAACATTCATCATTTTAACACATTATGGCAACTAAATCCAAAACTAAAAGTCTTATCTGTAAAGACATCCACTAATTAAAAAGAGGTTGTCAGATTTTAAAAAATAATATTATACATACAAGTTCTTTTTTGCCAGTTGTCAATATAAATGGCTTTTACTTATATTTCTTAATAGTATAAATACATACTATGTTGTTGTTGGGCTTAGGATTCTTCTACATTAGGTGTCTGTGACTTCTTAGCGATAAATTCAACAATGAATAAACAGCACACACTTTATTTGTTTTCAAATAATATATGTAATCAGGACAAGTTAAACGTATGAACAACAAAGTCTTCACATTATAGAGATTACAGGCATATCATAAACACCAGTTATATATATAGTTCTTTTCTTCTTGTCAAAAGTCCACTTAGGCCTATTCAATTACTTTAGAATTTCAGTTCACAAGTCGAACTATCTTCTCTATATTACTATTGT